CGTTCTCACATTTGCAGCATGGCTTATTGCAGAGGAGTTGGGGAAAACTGTCATACTAGAAATATTCAAAATTACAGTCTATTTAAAACAATTAAACAATAGCTCTGTATTGTGCTATTGTGTTTGCATTTAGAATAAAATAGCTATTTAATCTGTATAACAATGTGAAACTAATGACGGTTGAATCACCTAATACTGCTTGATACCAGTACAAATTAATATGAAGTTTAACTCCATTTGTAGGAACCTTAGTGTCTCAAGGCAGTTGTATTAGATCTCCTCTAGAAAATGATTTAAAAACATTCTGACATCAAATCCTTCTTGACTTTGGGGACTGAATTTCAAAGTACAAGGATTTTTTTATATTGGATCATAAATCTGCTCTATAGGAAGTTTTGCTTCCTGAGATTCTAGCTTTTGGCTTATGCTTCCAAAAACAATTATACTAATAAAAATGTCTAAGCAAAGAAGAAACCAGAGGAGCAAGTATATTAAAAGCCAAAACAGGACTTTCTTTCTTTTTTTTTTTTTAAACAGAGAGGAATAGACAGACACCTCTCTGGCATTCAGCGTTATAAAACACAAGATTAATGCAGTTCTCAATAAGAAGGCTAAGTGCATAAAATAAGAACACGACCATTATCTATCTCAATGGATATGCCTCCAACTCACGAATCCCAACAATACATAAAAAATACATGATGTTATTAGGTGGTGGAAGTTGGCAATATATTGTCCATAACTTATTTATATAAGGCTGTCCAGAGTAGCCGTGTTTAACTCTGCTGGGTAGGCAGATAGGAGGTGAGGCCTGAGTCGTTGTTTGCTAAGTCAGAGGGTAATCCACAAATACAACTTGAAATGAGGTGAAACCTGGGACTTCTTAACCCGTCTGTCATTATATTCTGGACCAATTCTCTGTTTTCTTACAAACTGATACTGAGCTGACAACACAAGAATTGTCTCACTGTTTTGTCTAAATTTTGTACTCAGTTGTTTACCTCATTGAGGGTTTATTATCAATTAATTACTTTATTTTTTGAGAAGGGTATCACTCCCATTGCTCAGGCTGGAGTGCAGTGGCATGATCTCGGCTCACTGCAGCCTCTACCTCCCAGGCTCAGGTGATCCTCCCAACTCAGTCTCCCAAGCAGCTAGGACCACAGGTGCGCACTACCACACTGGGCTAAGTTTTTGTATTTTTTGTAGAGGCAGGGTTTCAGCATGTTGCCCAGGCTGGTCTCTAACTGCTGAGCTCAAGCAATCCGCCCTCATTGGCCTCCCAAAGTGCTGGGATTACAGACATGAAATCCGCCTTTATTGGCCTCCCGAAGTGCTGGGATTACAGGCATGAAATCCGCCTTTATTGGCCTCCCGAAGTGCTGGGATTACAGGCATGCGCCAACATGCCAGGCCTCATAGATAGATTTATTAATTGAATAAATGTCACCAAAATTAGGAACTGGTGGTTGAAGTCGATCATAGAGCTGTCTGAAAGGACTGATGCTGTCTCTTTAGCTAAGATAGTGGAGACTGTTTGGGACTTCCCCAGGAGTAGGTAGGCTTGGGATATCAGGACTCTCAACAGAAGAAGGTTGTATGCCATTTGGGAGGGTCCGTTGGCACTGATAAGAAAGGTAATGGAAACAAAGTTCAGTCACAGGGAATCCTGAATCTAGATGTTTAGGGATCCTGGGTCCCTGACAGGGACAGCACACAGTCAGACTAAGGTCATGCATGTGACGTGTATTCACTGGAAAGTTAGGAGAACTCATGGTGCTGTCTACTATTTTCTGTATCGCCATTCTGAAAATTTCCATGGCTACCTCTAAAGTTTTGTCTACATGTAAATACTTTCACTTCAACAACAAAAAACAATTTCTGGTTTTAAAGATTTTAACAAAAAAAGATTTTAATTTTTATTTAAGTAGTCAAAATAATGAGTGGATAAGACCCCAAAAATGCCCATAAAAATTGCTAAATGTTTCTGCAGAAAGTACTCCATCCAGAGCTGCCTCTCACCGTTCATCCTTTCACTGTCTCTTTTTGTGGGGACTAAAAGTTTCCCATTAGGACATAACAGACTGTCATTAAACCTTAAACGTGAATGCGCTCTCCCAATCTATTTGGTAGGAATAGCACGTGTATGTTTATTGTGGCACTATTCACAATAGCAAAGACTTGGACCCAACCCAAATGTCCAACAATGATAGATTGGATTAAGAAAATGTGGCGCATATACACCACAGAATACTATGCAGCCATTAAAAAGGATGAGTTCATGTCCTTTGTAGGGACATGGATGAAGCTGGAAAACATCTTTCTCAGCAAACTATCGCAGGGACAAAAACCAAACACCTCATATTCTCGCTCATAGGAATTGAACAATGAGAACACCTGGACACAGGGCGGGGAACATCACACACTGGGGCCTGTTGAGGGGTGAAGGGAGTGGGGAGGGATAGCATTAGGAGACATACCTAATGTAAATGACGAGTTAATGGGTGCAGTGCACCAACATGGCACATGTATACATATGTAACAAACCTGCACATTGTGCACGTGTACCCTAGAACTTAAAGTAAAATAAAAAAATTAAAAAAAAAAAAAGGAATAGCACATGTGTTTTCAGGTCGTCAATTTACAGGGAAGTTAGATCATCTTTTTTGTGGGATACTATGCAATTGATTTCTCAAAGGTCACCAATGAACTCCTTCAAGTGAATTGAATTTAAAATTTAGCTTGGCCTTAAAGGGCATTGCAGTTCAATGGTCTAAATCAGGGATTAACAATTAAATGCCTGTTTTTCTGGCATACTGGTGACATGAGAGATTTCGTGGATGTCCAGGGTCAGCAACGGATACCAGCTCTTGTTTCTGGTTATGTGTATATTTTTTGCACATGATGTGACATATATTTGTGGCTTTAAAAAATATATTTTGAGAATTTTAAGAGTACTGGACTTTATAATTTAATATGATTTATTGTACTTAGTTAACTAGAACCCCATTTCCCTGCTGAGTTGACTTGCACCAGGATGGCAATCTTAACCAGTAGTACTTGTTAGAATCTATTTCTGAATCCGCAGGTATAACCTCCATGCAGGGACATTCTGATTTTTTAGAGCTTTGGATAGTATATTTTGACAAAGTTCTCTGGTGATTAAAATAAACAATAGCAGCATACACCTATGTGCATATATGTATATGCATATATTTACACACATAGATAAATACATGTTTTTCACTTTACAATGTACTGTAGAAATCTTACATCAGTGCACAAGGTAAGCTCATTCTTTTAAATGGCTACACTGACTCATTAACTTGATGAACATTTTAAGAGCATGTTCTTTACTTCTCTGTGCCTAATAAATTTTTCATCTGTAAAGTGGGGGTAATATCAATATGTATCTTATAAGGTTGTTGTAAGGATTCAATGTATTCATGTGTGTAAAGGACTCAGAAATAGATCTAGAAACTAATAGGCATTATAAAAATTTTTGATAAGATTATTGTCATCATTGTTATTTTTACCCACAATCTAACATTACTCCTAACAGATATTAAAATGCACAGACAGAGTTTGTTGTGTCTTCAGGTACTGGCGATTACATGAGAATTTGGATAATTTTTTTCAAACTTTTCTATCAGCTGCAATTCAATTGTGAGTGGATTTGAGAATCAAGTAGGTAGAGTGTGAAGTTACCTAGGAAGCAGGAGAACTTAGTTCTTACTTTAATCTGCCACTGGAAGTATGCGACTTTGGACAAGTCATATATAAATTCTGAGACTAAAATTCTCCATATCTGAACTGAGGGTGTTGGAAGAAATAGTCTCTAAAGTATCAATAGCTTTAACTCCCAGTTCGTGTTGTGGAAACAAAGAGAAGACAAATATGAAATTTTCCCCAGAGTGCAGGCTTTAAGAGGGAGGACACCTTGGTCTTCTTCAGAACTGAAGTGGCAATGTCTAGAGTATGCCTTTTTCTCATAGTAGGCACTCAGTAAAATTCTGTCAAAGGAATGTTAAAAAAAAGTGATACTCAAAATGCAAAGTGAATATTGGTACACAATGGGTCTTCATACCTTTTTTGTTTTTTTAACTGATTATATGAGTTTCCAGAAATCTTTCTAAGAATTTCTAAATGCCTATCTTATCTTCGAACATCAGAAAAAAACATTTAAATAGATTTAATTTTATTTTTAGTACATCAACACATATCTATTTCTATTGCTCTATTAAAAGACTGTGATTGAATCACTTTGACAGTTGCAAAATACTCTGTCTAGGGTACTTTATTAAACCAAAAGAATGCAAGATGCATCAAAAATTCCATTTGTACTTGGTATGTACTAAATGAGCATCATGTAAAAGTCTAGTTCCTCTTAGGGAAACTACTCAAATGTGGTAGTCAGTAGGAAGGAACTATTGGGCTATTACTTAGTGCAATCCTTTCACATTGATCAAGGAAGATGAATTTTTGTAGAGCAGCACAATCAGATGTAGATACATTATGTTTTCATAACATTAGCATTTGCTATATGATTGGAGAAGAGCCCAGAGATCTTGGAAGGTGGAAGGATGGGCCCCTTGAATCTGTTAGCCCTACCTTCCACTTGACCGTTCAAAGTGACTGCTTCCAGAGATCCTGTGGCATGTTATGCATCCTAGTGCTTTGAGGCCACTGAAATAGAATTAATTTTTTCATACTGGAGTATGGATTTTTAAAATGCCAAGTTTCATTTAATTACACAGGGAAACCAAACCACACTTTTCTTGATCAGAAATATTGTGAGGGCAAAGTAGGAAAAGCCAATGAATTATAATAAACAATAGTGAGTTTTAATATAAAACTTACTGAAAGATGCAACAGGTCAACCAATCTATGAACCTCTGGAGGGTAACAAGACAGTAAACTTGACATTGCACAGTATTTGACATACTGTGGTATTTGACATACAGTGAATCATTATTTACATTTTATCCAAAAACATTTACCTGAGAAAAGGTCATGACGTTAAATTTGGAGACATTTACAGCAATTGCCAAATGTTTACTATCTACATGAATGTCATGCTTCTCAGTCAAAAGCAGGTTGATGTGCTAAATGTCAATTATTTCAACTTGTTTGATGGTAGCACAGATTGCCAAGCAACATAAAAAGAGGTTTAATAAATATTATATACACTGCTAACCATTAATCTTGCATAGCAGAGGCTCAGGTTTTACATATAGAGGATTTATGACAAGCAACAGCTCAGGACATTAAAACTCAATTATTGCAGTCCTGGATGGTGGCACTATCATTAGTTCTTGGAAACTCACCTTGTTTCTTCTGCTTCTGCCGCCACTTTGGAGGAGGCATCGGGGATAATGGAATTATTTCAGGAAATAGCACTTTGATGTTTTCTTTGTGTTTTCCAGTCCTTTTTAGAATTAGCAGCATGGAGGATTACCCAGAGTTACGTTGGTGGGAAATTGAATTGTTCCATTTTTCTCACTGATTATAAGGCATAATGATATTCTGCAAGAACTCTAAAGACTTCAAGAGAGCAGCACACAAATGTTAAGAGGGACACAATAGCACCAATGGAATAAAAAGTGGTGAGGGTGTCAGCAGCAAGGGAAATGTGAGTAGTTTCTAGCATGTGTTTTATCAGCACTGAAACTTGATGAAGGCAAGTTATGAACTTTTTTCCTTTTCTTCTAATCACCACATATGTACATAACAAAGGACTCAGTGATACAACCACAAAACTCCCTTGAATTAAGTGACCAAGGTCAAGAAACACCCAAGACTGGGTAAGTTGTAAAGAAAAGAGATTTAATGGACTCACAGAGAGGAGGCCTTACAATCATGGTGGAAGGCGTAGGAGGAACAAAGCAAAGTCATGTCTTACATGGTGGCAGGCAAGAGAGCATGTGCCGGGGAACTGCCCTTTATAAAACCATCAGATTTTATGAGATTTATTCACTATCATAAGTACAGCACGGGAAAAACCTGCACCCATGATTCAATTACTTCCCACCAGTCCCTTCTATGACATGTGGGGATTATGGGAGCTATTTAATACAACTAAATAGGAGCTCTGGGTGAGGACACAGCCAAACCATATCACCAAGCAAGCTCTGGTCTGCTCAGAGAATTCCAGTGACTCTATTTGCTTCCAGAATAAAAACCAAACTAACCTGGTCCTCCAGATTCTTCATCAGCCACCTTAATCCTACCTTTTTAGGCTGACATCCCACACTCTCTTAAGAAATCCTCTGAGTTCGGCAAAGCTAACCATTGTGCCTGCCCGCAGTATATGCAAACATTTTCACACCAGCTCCTCGTGTCCTGTCGGCCTGAGTGCCCTTCGCCACTTGCTTCCACATCAGTGTGCTCTACCTGCCTTTAGCACAAATGCTTCCATGAAGATTTGTTTGCTACTGCTCATAATTTCTCCTCCTAAACCCTTGGGAAATTGTGTTTTTACCTTTCTTGTGCTATGTGCATGGTCTAACTTGCACTGTTTTACCATCTTCCTCCCTGACTACGTGCTCTCCTACAGCAGAGCCTGGTACCATGTCTTGCATCCAGTAGTGCTCAATAAATGCTTATTAGATAGCATCAAACATTTGCCAGTAACCTGAGTTTATTCCCAAACTCAGATGCCAATGAAAAAGAAATCAAGAAAGACTAAATGGCATATGTGCATGTTCATTTTAGCGTTTCTTCACAGCGGTATGAAAATGGACTAACACACTTAGCAAAGATTAATCTGGGGCAGGGGTGGGTGGGGGGAGGAGGGTCAGGTGAGTGAAAATGGCATTCTGAAAAGAAGAGGAAAAGGGAGACTCAGAGGGGTTGGAATCAGGGCAAGAGGGGCAAGGAGACATACAGTCTTATTTTTAATGGCACATTGGCAACGACAATCACAAGAAGTGTGGCGTTTCCTTCCTGGGAGATCCTCTCACCAGTCAAGGGAGGTTGAAGTGTCCTCCCTTGATAGAGAGACAACTGAGCTAGTGGGTCTCTCCATCCTTGTAACAAAGGGATTTCTAGAAATGAGTGCAAAAATTTAGTCAGGAGTTTTCTTCCCTTGACTATGTGAGTAATCACAGAAGAATACTTACGGTAAGCCTCTTACTTCCCAGATGCAAATTCAATTCGCCTGAGCTGTTTTGCGGCTTATGCCAGACGTCTTGAGTCATCTCCCCAAGCAAATAATGTAAGCAGTTCTTTCAACATTGAATTGTGGATTTATTCTAGGACCGGAGACATATTACTAGTATTTTCCAGCATTGGCCCTAGGCTAGACAAATAAAGTTTACTTTTAAAAAGGTCAAAAGCACTTTCCAGACTCAAAGTCTCACTCCTTTCAAACTTCTAGGTCACCTGATGCTTGCAACATCATGTACTTATGTTAAATATTGAAGGTCTCTGATAAAATATAATAATACCAGAAAAGGCTAAGTCACTCTGTTATATTCACTTGTTAATCCAAATTAGTCCATATTAACATATTAGTCCAAATTCACATTATATTTCTTACTAACCACCTGGTAGGGATTTAAAAAATATTATAGGTAAATGATAGAGAAAGTAAAGGCTTTCCTAGAACAGGTAAGACAGTGACCAAAAGAAGGCATTGGGGAGAATGGAGTCCTTTCAGGAAATAACACTTTGATGTTTTCTTTGTGTTTTCCAGTCAAGTTGATCAGTAGATAAGTAAACAAATGGCTTAATTCATAGTTAAAACTAATGCACATACTTACTACCTAATTTTAGCTAGAGTCGTGGGATATTCAATGAGTTTGAATGTTGTTTTAAGTATTTGATTGGCTGTGTCTATAAACGGTAGACTTCTGTTTCACCGTCAGAGCACAGAACAATGGTTAGAAGTAACAGATGTTTTTTTTTTCCCCACCAGAAGAAAGAATTATAAGAAAATATATCTCTGTGGCTCAAATAAATAAAGGTTCAGTTCACAAAGTATTGAGTTACCTGAAGGTTGGGTAACTATTTGAAGTTCGTTTCACTGGTCTGCTGGGTAGATGGGATTTAGATATCAATTGGGTAGCTGGACTAAAGCGATCATTAAAATTCCTCCCAATTTTGAGATCCTTTGCCAGAAGAGTGCTAAGGACGATAAAGTGATCATATTAAGAACTTAAGCCTGAAGAAAGTGGCTAAAATAACTCAATATGCTTTACATGTCTTAGCTAAGTGATGAATTGGATAGATGCAGTACCTCTTGACTGCCAGCTGAAGGGTAAAAAGAAGGGTAGGATTAGATATAGTGCCAAGAGGAGGTATAATGAGAAATAATACTATGAAATTTACTAAAGGAAACTGAGATCTGAATTAGAAACATTTTTTCAAATTAGAGCTTCAAAATCTAATGTGTTTTGGCACTGTCTCCCAAGGGCAGCCACAGAAGGCCTTTGAAGAGCTCTGTGCAGCCTTGGTTGGAGCGATTTAAGCAACATGCCCTTTAGAAAATAAAAAGCCTTTCTGGAGGACAGGGGGAAGCGTTGTACAATTTCTTTCAACACAAAATATTTTGATGTGAGGATTTCTCCTTAGGTTTATCTTTCTCAGACCATTTCTTCCGTAAACAGGCTACAGGCAGACCCAGGCTTGACACACAGAGGCTGCAAATTAAGAGGAATCCTGGGGGAATGCCTGAAACAGCGCTCCAAGCCTGCTCCCTTGTGGTCATGGGGTTAGCAAGAGAGCAGCCATGTCTTTGGCTAGTCTCTGCCCTCTTTCCTTTTGGAAACTGGTTTGGAGGAAGTCTAGGCACCTCTGTGTGCTGCTCCTCTCTCCTTTCCCCTTAAGCTAGGACTTCTGATTTTTGTCTGGTGGCCCTCAGGCCAGCAGAGGTGGGGAGAGGAGAAACCTGGTTTTTCCCCTCCAGGTTGAAGCTTGGTGTTTCCTGAATATTGCAGTCCACTTGCTTTGTTTTCCCTTCCTCTACCCCGGGGCCAGGTCTGCTCTTCACTTCTCTGACAAGTACACTCGCTAGGCTCACTTGCCTTTTCTGAATCAAAAATGCCACATCTTCACTTTTGTTTCAAATAGGGAGGCAGCAGCTCAATATATCTGAGCAATATTAGGAGCCAAGAACCCCTGGGTCTGAGTCAGAGCCCTGGATCTTTCTCATTGTATAACCTAGCTTACAACCATGGGCAAATCATGGAAACGCTCTGAAGCTCAGATTCTTTGTTTATAAACTGCGGATGTCCTATTTTTCTCACAGACTACCATGGGGATCAAAAGTGATGATATATGTATATGTAGTTTTGGTGGTAAAGTTCTATGTTACTGTTAGTTACTGTCGCTCCCAATGAACTGGGCAAATCTTTCTTTGGCCTGTTGTATATACAATAACCTCTTCTAGTGGGACTTTGTCTCTCCTAACAAGATCTAAGTTCTAAGAGAGGGAAAGGATGCTTACTGCCCTCTACTTTAAACCTATGCAAGTGTTCAGAAGGCCATGAGCATCCTTTAAGGGCTGAAGAAATCCAAGAGAAGCTAGGAGGTTTATTTATTCTTTGGTAGACAAGGGGCGGAAGAAATCCAGGTCCTATGGCCATGGGAATGGAAGCGGGCAGTACAAGATCAGGACAGGTGGATGAAAGGAAAAAGGGGACTTAGGGGCTAGTTTTAGACTTAAGTGCTTCTGGACTTTCTCTGGACTTCTGGTTTGTGGTCCGGCATGTAAGGACAAGTTAAAAGCTGAACAGTGGTTGGGCATGGTGGCTCACACCTATAATCCCAGCACTTTGGGAGGCTAAGGCGGGTGGATCACTTGAGGTCAGCAGTTAAAGACCAGCCAGGCCAACATGGTGAAATCCCATCTTCACAAAAAATACAAAAAATTAGCTGTGTATGGTGGTGTATAACTGCAATTCCAGCTACTTGAGAGGCTGAGGCAGGAGAACTGTGAACCTAGGAGGTGGAGTTTGCAGTGAGCTGAGATCATGCCACCCCACTACAGCCTGGGTGACAGAGTGAGGTATTACACGTTGAATTGGTGTTCTCTTTCCCAAATTGATGTTGAAGGCCTAACCCCCGGTGCCTCAGACTGTGGCTATATTTGGAAACAGGGCCTTTAAAGAGGTAATTAAGTTAAAATGAGATCATTAGGGTGGCCCTAATCCAGAATAACTGCTGTCCTTCTACGAACAAGAAATTTGGACACAAACACGTACAGAGGGAAGACCACGTGAAGACACAGAGAAGCACAGAAAGGAATGAAGTACTGATGCCTACTGCAACCCGCAAGCCACCCAGAACTCTGAGAAAGTGGGTTTCTATTGCTTCAGTCATTCAGTCTGTGGTTCACTGCTGCGGTAGCCCAAGCTACTCATATAGAGGGCTTGGGCTGGTGTAGCACCATGCTCTCTGGCTGAATAAACCCCACCCTGCCTTCCTAGGGCCTTCTTTCCTCAGGAGTCAGGCATCACCAAAGGTACAGACTTGGTCGCCTTCCTCTTGGCCAGGTGAATACCTGGCAGAGATGTGTTTCTGATACTCCAGTAGTCATGGAAAATATTTGTCTTTGAAACGTCACCCTCTGTCCGTGGTATTTAGTTCTCCAGGTCTGTAAGGGCACCGTTGTGTTCTAGGTGCATCATGGTAGACAGAGGCTGTCCAACTGCCGACATTGAGGTTGTTTCCTCCTGCGTGGCTGGGACTACAGGTGTGCATTACCATGCTCAGCTATTTTATATTTTGATTTTTAACACAGATGAGATCTCACTATGTTGCACAGGTAGGAGAATTGCTTGAGTCCAGGTGTTAGAGACAAGCCTAGCGACATAGCCAGTAATACATATTACTTGTATTATTATTGCAAGTAATAATAATAATAAAATATTAGCTGGATTTGTTGGCATGCATCTGTAGTCCTAGCTATCTAGGAAGCTAAGGTGATCACTTGAGCCAGGGAGATAGAGGCTGTGATCACACCACTGCAATCCAACCTAGGTGACAGAGTGAGACCCTGTCTCCAAAAAAAAAGAAAAAAAAAAAGGCAGAATCTTTTGCTTCTGAAATATGTGCATTTGAGAGGATATAATTGGTGATTTATATCATTAGCCACTGTCCTGTGATATTAACAGGTCTTAACTCTTCACTCATGTGCAGAGTTAAGACCTGTTAATAATCCTGAGATGAGGTTCCTCCTTTGGAGTATTGACTCAGAGCTAGCAAGTAAGTAATTGTGATCATTCCAAATCACTCACCGTACGTTAGAGAGATGTTTCCTCTCTTTGCAGTTCTTTAGTATCATTCTTAAAGTTTGTAACTAATCTGCTATGCATTAACTAATAATCAGTTATATTATCAGCTACCCAAAGCATAGATTATAATACTTCAATCCTGCTGTTTAGACATTTCAAAACATTTTATTCTCAAAGAAAAGTTAGCTAGTAAGCTAGCTGGGAAGGATAGTTCAAAAGTAACAAGAAAGGCCCTTTTAGAAGGATGAGGTTATTTGCTGGGCAAGATGCAAATACTAACCTGTGTGCTCCACTAACCCACAGTGGATCTCGTGTTCAACGCCTAAAAGAATAATTCAAAGGAAGTTTTCCAATATTCACTGTCAGTTGTGATAGCTTTGACCTTGTAGTCATGGTATACGAGTTAAATAAATTCAAGAGAGAAATATTTATCTAAACTCTCTGGCAATGGTACTGTTATTCTCTTTTGTTAGTGAATAATTGAAAAGGTATCATCAAATAGCAAAGTTTCAATTATTCATCAAGTTACTTCATTTACTAGACAAATGTCTATAGGCAAATAACTGACACTTGAATTAAAAACTGGCAACATCTCTACAGGTTTGCTTATTGGGTCATCATTGCTTGAATCCTCAAATACAAAAGCTTCATACAAATTGTCTATCAGTCGTTACAGAGGGAGTTTGTTATTTATATTAGTTTTCTATTTCTGCTGTAACAAATTACCATGAATTTAACACTTAAACAACACGCATGTATGATCTCATAGCTCTGAAGGTCTGAGGTCTGGGAAGAGTTTAGCTCGGCTAGATCCTCTGCTTAGAGTCCAGAAGGCTGATTCTTTCTAGACACTGAGAGAGGAATCCACTTCTAGGCTCATATAGTTTGTTGGCTGAACTCAGCTCTATGTGGTTATAGGACTGAGCTCTCTATTTTGTTGCTGATGGTCACTTAGGAGCCAG